TTATTATTGCTACCCATAGCCACAAACGCTTTAAAGTGCGTACGCTGACCACCGCCAATTTGTTTTTGTGTTGGTGTCGTCTTTAAAATTTCATCACGCAGGGCTGAACAGTGAAAATCAATTTCAAATTCCATTATAGAGTAGAATTATATTCGAGCATACACTAATCGGCCTGGTTTGGCAACTGGTATCCAGTAGTTATGGCTTTTTTTCTATTCTGTGCTTAAACACCGGTACCACGACCACGTCCGCGAACTCTACCACTATGTCAACCATAAGAACCGAATCCATCATGAAAACCATCACTGGCTGTAGACACATCGGCCATTTTAAAGCCATAAATCAAGTTATATCGGTGAAACGGCAAAAAGGGGAATGATGCTAAAATTCTTCAAGAGATTGAAGTAAACTTTATCTTTCGACATCGTTGAGGCACTAAACATTAGTCATTTAGTTGGCAATTGAACCATTGCCATAGGACACACGAACGGAAACCTTGCAAAGTTCAATTTGATTTCAATCTGCGAATTCTTGCTTAAAAGAAATGGCACCGAAGCATTTTTAAAGCATGGGTCACCGGCCATAGTAATCTACAGAAAAGATCGTAAAACTACATAAATCGCGACAAAAGTAATGTAAGGTAATGTAAAGATTGGTGAAAGATAATTTTTCATCACGAGCTGCTTCACCCTGGCGAGATGTGGGAACACGGTGTACTCTCAACAACAAATGTGATTATAACGCGTTCAGAATTGACGAATAGGAGCAGAATCGTCTTCCAACATGACAGCGTCGAATCATACGTGCATGGCGTAGTCTGCAAATCTTGGCCTCCAATGCATCTACCAGGATCCCGCGCCCCCACTTTTAGTTTAAAACACAAAAACTAATTATTAGTTGACAATTTATTTTTTCTATATTTAAATAACGAAGTTACTATAAATGAACACAAAACTCATTAGGAAGCATTGAATTGCGCATTTGTATCCTGAATTCTTGGGCATAACGACGAGACCTTTTATCCCATCCTTTCTTTTTTTTTGCTTCTTTTTTTGTTTCGTCCGTTGGTCCGCTACTTAGCTCAGAAACCCTGGTATTAGCAGTGCACTCGTTATAAACCAAATATTTATTTGGATTTTTTTTTTGTACTCGTGAATTTAAAAAATTGTTTTCCAAAAAACAAAAACATTTTTTCTCTTCTTTTTCGTAATTTCCGGTCTACTATATTTTTATTGGTTTTTTTTTTTGTTTTTATTTATTTTATTTATTTTTATTTACTTGTTTTACACATGAAATTCGGTTAAAAGGAATTGATAGCCGAATTCAATCAACTCGTATAAACAGATGTTATGATAAGTATTACGACTAAACTAATAGAAAACAAAAATAAAGAAAAAAATGAAGAATAAATTAAAAAAAAAAGAATAAATAAACATGAACAAATAAACAAGAAAATAAAAAGAGAAAGAGCAAAAAAAAACTCGCACATATCTAGGGCAGGGGCACACCCGTAGTTAGCATAGATCTGAGTAGCGAGTGAAGCACTGAACCGTCGCAAAAATGCAATAGCTTGGCAATCGTAATCAGTGCACAGGAGACAGAACGACAAAGAAACAAGCGGGTCCCAATCCAAACTCCTAAGGGGAAGAAGAAGGAGTTGCTTTGGATTCTTTTGAATTTACATAGCACCTGTATGAAGGAGACCGTAATAAAGAGGCATGTTTAAGTATTGAGCTCAACAAGTTCATTTATAGCCCTTTTGTAAGGCACGAGTCGTCGAGCTCTCTACGCCATGCCATACACGTAATCTTTAGTCGAATAAAACTCTCAAGTCAGTGAAGGAATTTTCTTTTTCAATTTTTGTAAATCGATGAAATACTTAGATAGTGAATGAAATCCTCCTTACAAATAAATGCTTTTTTTCATAAAATTTTATGGGCAACAATGTAAACAATTTGCCTAAATCAGATTGAAGGAGATAAGAGCGCGATACCAAGATAAGCGAATAAAACAATTTAAGATCGTCAACATATATGAAGATAATGCTGCACTTAACCATCGATGAGCAATCATTGATGTACAGAATAAATATATAAAAAATGTTGCAATGTAATTCTGTATGTAAATAATTACAAGTATAATTTTGTATGTAAAGAAAAAAAATTTTTTAATAATGTATACGTTGGTTTTCGCGTCGTCTGCAGTCCATTCATCCGACGTCAATTATGTAAACTGTCCAGCTGGAAGTTGAAGAGAACAGGTATGACAACTAAAAAAATGGAAATTTCCAAGATGGTCTAAAATTGGCTACGTATGTTATTCATGATCAGTGAATTCTTTAGGGCGTATGAGAGCCCTATCGATTACATTGCTTGCTTTTGGTTAACAAAAGTATTTTGCAGCTCATTCAAAGTGTGCCTGCAGATCAAGCTAACTCGTCTCCGATGCGAAACCTTGAGTAAGGTATAAGTAACTCACGGTGATAATGATGCGGATGTTTCGCCATCAGCCTATCTGGCCATCGTACGCAGGAATTTATAACTGTGCCGACTAACTCTTACCGCACTCATCGACATCAACGCCTCGCAAGATTAATACCTTGCATTGGTACACTCCTCAATCCGGATAGTCTAGGCCCTTCTCTGTCGCTCTCCTTTTAATTTGTAAAAGACGCCAGTTTATCTCATTGCCAGGAGTGGTTTGGCGCAAGTATGAACGCAGACGTTCACTCATTGTCCTCCGGCGTTGAGAGGTACACTACCTTCGGCTACTAGTATTCCTCATCGTTGTCTTACGCATCGCATCGCCCAGGCCAATTGAATTAAATGAGTTAAAAGATTATATGGGTTTATATAAAACTTGTAAGGAGGGACAGTACATAGAACACAACCAAAACACCATGAATATAATTAAAGTAGAAAATTTGAAAATATTAAATCTTAAGACGAAGAGGAGAAGTATAACTTCTCTCCTATACATATACGTGAAGAAATGGGAAATCTTAAATATGTATTCCTATATACAAAGTAGAAAAGCACATCTTGTATATATTTTTATATAAATGCAAATCAAACAGGGAAACATAACATATTGCAGATCAAATAGATGAAATGAACCGAATACAGGTCATCCTTTGACCGGTAATAGTGTATTCAACGCCGTCACCTGCCTCGACGTATGGTTGACCATTCGGTCGATAGAAAAGTAATGTCAGCTCGCCATTGTGTGGGGTTAAGAACTTCAAATCCTCTATATGTAAAGCGTGCATGTTCCTCAGGCTCTTGTTGTTAAATCTTTTAAATTATCGCTATGCGGGATCGAGAAAATTGATTCAAGAATTCATCACTTCGCCAAGCGTCACTAATATATCTAATTTTTGATTTGTAAGTTTATAAGAACAAGCAGCAACATCTTAAGAAATATACTTTTCCGACCAACCTGTACCGTGATAGGTGGTTGCAATCGAAATGCATTCCATCTCATGGAAATGTATTCGAATTCAGTTATAAGACACCGCCGGAAGCAGTACGCATAATTTTGTATATAGGCAGCAAGTATGATTAAAGCAATCTTTATCGAAACTAGCTTCAAATGCTGTTACGTGGTAATAATGCAAATAATTATCAATGTTTGTGCGTGTGGATTGTGTTTCATTTTTCATTTACCTTGAAATAGTTATTATTATATATATATATATAGATTGGATGCGAAGAAAGAGAAAGAATGATAGAGCGATATAATATAAAAGCACAAAATAAAATTTATCTGTTATATATCTAATAATATGCCAACAGCAAAGCGTGAAACGCTTGCAGCCCCAAAAAGCAGTTGCAATAATTTTCTTAAAAAAGATTAGAAAAAAATAAAAAAAATAAATGAAAAAAAATTATACACTACACACACTTCAAAGTCCCAATATGTGGTCAAGACAGCGGGTGTTTTTACAGCCAAACGCAAGCACAGCGGGCATGACGCAAAAAAATTTACCTCCTTCCCTCGTTCATAGAGCATAATATGTGGAAGTTTTCTAGTTGCTTTTGCAGTTCGTGATTTTAAGTTGTTTTAACAGTTTTATAGTTAAAATTGTTTCAAGAAAATAAAGAGAAAAAAAAAATTATTAGGTTGTGTTGTTTAGTTTGCAAGTAAAAAAAAAAGAAGAAAAATAAATAAAAACGAGACCAATTTTTGTAATTAGAAATAAATCATAAATAGAAAATAAAAAGTTGAATGAAAAATATTAAATATGTAAATAAACATAATTTCCGTAAACGATCTACAATTCAGATGACATGTTAGATGATTCTGCATGATGGGCCTTACAGTGCGTGAAACAGTTACAATCATCTTGGCTTCAGTTTGTCTGATCTCGAAAATAAGATTTTTTTGGGATGGGACATAACATTAAAGTCATTGTACTGTAATCTTTTGGCAGTGAGTACAGGAAAAGAGCCGTGAATTGAAACAACCATCTGGTACTGTAGCTTCCACATCCATGCACTAGAATGCAACATAGTTTAAATTGAAATTGAATTTATTGTATTTATCCTTCATTTGTTTATTCGTTGAATTAAATTTTGTTGTTGTACGTTGTAAAGTGAATTCAAATAATATTCGATTCTTGGAGCTTGCTGTTCTGTGTTGTGTTGTGCGTTCTAAAGTTAATTTAAGCAATATTTGACTCTTATAGTCGGCTGTCAAAACTCTTAGGCATTATGCGTTCTCAAATTAATGCAAATAATATTCGCTTCTTATAGTTTGCTATCGAATATGTTACGCATTGTGCGTCCTAATCGGAAGTCTTATAGACTTCTTCTCAGTTAATTCAAATAATACTCGACACTTGTATTCTGCTGCCGAATTTATATTTACATACATGCGCCCGTAGTCGAAATCGATCAACAATACACTATACTTAGCAAAAAAAAAAAAATTTATTTTAATTCTATCCTTAGAATAAAATATGATTTGAAAATGTAAGAACAAGGTGAAGATATAAAAATAAAAAAAATAAAAAAGCAAATAAATTATTGAAAGGAGAATTGAAAAGAAAGAAAAAATGCTATTAATTCAAGCGCGTATTGTCGGTATGGCAACAAAAGTACCTTTGAAATGTTTACAAAAACGTCGCAAAAGAAAATTAACGCTTATCCATGACATCTATCATAATAAAATTCTAAAAATATTTGTGTTGTTCGCCTGCATGTTGCATATTTTGCAACATTTAAATATCATTCGTTTCGCAAGTGAGGCCTCTTCTGTAACAACAACAGCAGCAGCAGCAGCAGCAGCAACAACAGTGGCAACAACAAATTCAACAACAATAAATAATAATAATAATAATAATAACAATAATACTAGCAGTAGTAAAGGTGATAATAACTCTTTGAAAAGTAATATAACCACACGAAGTATTAATCATCAGAACAGTTTTAATCGGCGGCAACAAAATGAAATTGTACAAAATAAATCGCAAACTAATAACGATACATTGCAAAGACGCAAACTAAGACGCAAACAGCACACATTTGCGTCAACTTCGATAGGTAACAATCATACGGTCCGCGTAAGACCGGTCTCGCTGCAACAACGTTATAAAGGTAAACGTCGTAAATATATGCGACCTGTGTTGTCGACTCAAAAAAATTCTACCCAAGTTTTACAACCAAAGATTAGTAATTTTATATCAACGCCTACAAGATCCCATCATCATCAGCATCATCAGCATCATCATCATCATCATCATCAACTATTATCATCGCAACAAAATAATCATATGATACAAAATCAACATCAATTCTCGTTTAGTAATCGCTCTTATCATCGTCACGAGCAGAAGCAACAACAAACGCTCTCTATACCGTCATCGACGGTTCGTGTTACCACCTCGATAGATCATGAATATCATAGAAATGGTAGCATAGGTCCTACGACTACAACGCAAATTAAACACTATATCGGTTTAAATTCTACTAACGTTCATCGTGTAGATTATCCGCAGTCTCCGTTATATGAAACGACGAATAAAGAGCATGTCATCATCCAGGGTAACACGGATATTGTACTATATCGTAATATCGGCGCCATACCATGTCCGCCAAATGTGCGACTAGTTACACACCGTGTTATACCTGCTACCGCAGCACCAACAAGGCCACATCGTCAAAGGGGTAAGGAACTAATTGACACAACTATTATGATGTAATTATTTATATAAATATAGGGAAATGTTGTTAAAAAAATTGAAAATTAATTTTAAAAAATTATTTTCACAATTTTTGTCACTTAATGCAATTAATTCATGTATCGAAGACATGAGACATTTTAAGCCCACATAATATTTGAAATGCGAAAAAAACCAAATTATAGCAAACATATGTATAGTGTTGCCATCATTTCACAGAGATATATGTGTACATGGAAAACCTGTTAACTGTCTGTTAAAGTGGGCAGTTGGTGTGTATATAAATATTTTTGCTTACATATAAAGCGGTTAAAGCAAAACTGGACTAAAACAATTGCAATAAAATCTAAGGAAAAGTGATTTTTTACTTGCAACGAACGGTTCCGTAACTTCATCTAATATTTATTTATTTATCTATTTTTTTTGTAATATGATCATTCAGTTAGGGCTTGTTCATTACTCGTGTAGCATGAAATGAGGGAAGAAGAGTAGATAGGAAGGGAGGTGGTGTCCTAGAAGCCTGGCGGCATTATAGATACGACCAAAGTAAACGCCACCGCACGAATCGCGAACTCTGTCCGCAAATTTTGTGAACATTTAAAAACTCTAATTAGATTCGATTAAAATTGCTTGAGAAAGTCGAACAAGATTCGAAGGTTAATACTTTCGAAATAAATTATACTTTGAATATAAATATATATAGAAGAAGGCTTGACTTTATTATCCTAAAATTTATTTGTTTTTTTTTGGATTTGCTTTGCTTTAGCTCTTATCGCCGATATGTATATCACCGATGTGTATATCACCCGTTGTGTCTCGTGCCATAAGTGTTATTTAGTCATACTTTTACGCTGACAAGGCGTTTGAAAACTGGAAAAATGTCTGTAAGAAATTATTTGACAAAAAATATTGATAGAAAATTGAAAACATTACAATTATACATTAGGAGAATAGTACACAAGGCATTTGAGTTCATTACAAAAAAAAAAAAAATGAGATTCGAGCTTTCATCAAATACTTAACATATTAATATACCTTTCACTATAATGAAGTCGTAAGAAAAAAGAAACTTTAAATCTCTTTTAATCGATAATAAAAAATAAAAAAAGGATAGTATGAAGAGATTATATTTAAGTAGAGGACATGTATACCAATACCGTTTTAGTTGAGTTTCTTTTATAAGTGGAATAAATAAATAAATAAATATAACCCCTCTCTTCATACCCTTGTGGTTTTTATATACACTTTTCACATTTTTTCTTAAAGAGAGATCGTGTAGTTATTATTTTATTCATTAGGGGCTGAAGACTATTTTTTTTTTTATGAAATACAAGTTGTTCTCTAAGTCGAGATTTTCATTAATGCATAGTTCGAAAATGTAATGAAGTTCTTCTTCTTCTTCGGCAGGTTTTATCTTAGCGAGGTCTGTTTTGCCCGATCTTCCACTTATCCTAGAGGTAATTACATGCATCGAAACTAATATTTGATAACTTGCTCGCTTCGTTGGAGTAACTGGTAATATTGGCTTATATTGAAAATTCTCCGCGGTTTTTTTTGCCGGATAGCGTTAACGCCTATATATCGGGCAAGGTGGGCTTAAAAGCTGTTATTTTACCTTATATTTTCTGTGCAGATGATTTGCCAATTCTTTGTTCGTGTAAAAAGTTATATTGATTTGAAAATGAGTGAACTACCTGAAGAAATACGCTAAGTGATGCCTTTTTTTGTTGTGAAGAGAGAATGATAAGAGTGAATGAAGGATCCAGGAGTGGTTTGCTAGATTCCACTGCGGAAATTTGGATGTCAAAGATGCATCTAAAAAAATCGATGAAATTATGCAACTGGTGGAGCAGGACCGTCACGCAATCTGTCAGGGAATAGCGCAGGCACTAAACATCAACCACGTGGCGGTTTGCAATCATTTGAAAACAGCTGACTACAAAACGGAGCTCGAATCCGCGGAAAATTTTGAATATGAACAAATACCAATGTGTGTCCTCAAACATGGACATTGTGGACATGAAAGTTCTATTGTTGATGTTAATCGTTCCTTCCATGGCGCACATGGCGTTGCGGAGAACTCTGTCTATGCGAAGGTCTCACCTCGGGTGTTTTCCCACTCTTTTGCATGCTGTACTAGCTCTTCACGGCTTCTACTTTCTTTTGTATTGCTTTTCCGCTTTTCATTTCCCCTTTTTCTTTCGCATTCACTTCGCAGTTCCATTAATAGGCTTTTTATTATTGTGAATATTAAAACTGTTGCACATTTTCTTCATCTAACAGTAATTTCAAGTGATTCTTTCCGAGAGCTGCTTCTTTCCAATAGCGCTCTCGATAAAACGCCAGGATCCTTTCTTCAGAATCAAATTAAAGAACTTTGCACTTCAAGTGCCTTCGGAGACCGCGGTTTAGTCGAATAAGGTTCGGTTTTGTCACCCTCTGTCATAACAGACAATCACTCACATAATGCGAGAGGTTAATAAGTTTCTTGTCTTTTCACTTATCGTTTGTCGATCAAAAGAAAGACAACTTTACTGTTTAATCCCTATAGAAAAATGGAAGGGGAGAAGGTATCATATATTCCCAGAAAGACGTGCAGCTAATTTGTGCACCTTTTCTCCTCCCTTTATTTGCATGTTCTAGTATTTTCGTTGCGATAGACGCTAATGTGTAATCTTCAATCTATTTGCAATAACTTTTAATAAAATTCATGAAAATCAATTCTTTCAAATGCTTTGGTAGTTTGTTTTATTTTTTACAAGATACATCTCATGCTGAGAATAGATGCCATTTTTCAGGTCTTCGGTTGTTTAATTTTTAGCGAAGGAACTTGGTCTAAACATAAACTCAAGCGTTTCACATACTTTAAAAAAAGTGGGCCACGGTCCACCGTTAACTAGCCTACCACACCTTACACTCATTCTTACAATGATTTCTTTAGGCTTTGTATAGAAAGGTGTCCAAAAGATGATTTGAAATGTTTTAAAATCTGCAGACTTTTGAAAGCGAAAAAACAGGATGAATAGACGGACAGTCGGATAGACAGGCGTAAATCGATCCAGAAAGTGATTCCGAATCGATCGGTATAACAGAGAGAGGGTCTAACTCAATTCCTTTCATCTGCACAAACTTAATACACCCTTGTAAGGCAAGTGGTACGTATAATTAATTATAATACTTAAGTTCTAGCAGTGGATAAAAGAACAGAGTAAGAAAAAAAAAAAGGTGCAATTAGTTTTAGAACTGTTACCGTTCACGCTTAAATCTATATACCGTGCGCTAGATATGTTCACAATATCTATTAAATAAGTTATCAAAGTGATTAATGTATTAAATTTAAACTTGTTACGCTTAACAAGCATTTACCTTTTCAAAGATTTAACTGAAAAAAAAAAAAAAAAAAAAAAAAATATTTCAATAATTTATCGGTTATTTTGTAAAACAATTTTCAATTACAATTTGTCTGTTAATAATCATTTAGATGTTGAACGGATCAAAATGTTTAACACATAAACGATTTTTTAAGTTTTTCTATTCCATGACGAAACGCACCCAGTTTTTGGTTTGTGTTGTTTATATATATATATATATATATATACAAGTTGGCTCTTTTGTATTATGGCCATAAAACAGTTACCTTGCATTGTTTTGCTTGTCATTGCTCACTTGTGCTAATTAGTGTCCCTGCCCCATGTCTCTTAAATATTTAGATACCGTAAAGTGAACAGGAGAGAGACAGTAAGTTTCACTAGATATGTGCTTCAATTGTCTCAACAACACTTCATTCAGAAAATCGATGTCAATTTTAAGAAGGAAAAAAATACCTTGCCATAGTTAAAGTTTGTTTAAGTTTCACGTTTTTTTTTTTTTTTTATTATTATTATTATTATTATTGCTATTATTGCTGCTATTGTTTCTCTTGTTGTTGGTGTTGTTTTGTGTATCCATTGATGTTAACGTAAAAGCGTTAATTTAATGGTTACTTGATAATTTGATTTGCATGACGCTTAAACCGATAATTGTTTTCCACTCAATAATGTCGGTGTTTGTTTTAGTTGTTGTTATTAGACCAGATAAATTATATGCATACCGTAGCGAATACGACACATACATGCATTTTTGTTGTGTTTTATAGCTTTTTTGTCACTGTCGAGTGAACCGCCTGTTAACACCCTTTTCGAATGACCATAAACCAGGCTTATTGGTAGCAAATAAATTGTAAAACTGCAAAGTAGGATGAGCACCAGCAACTAAGGCTCGCGTCGCTTCAATAAAGTCAAATATTTTATTGAGATTGAGTTGTTCAGGTATTTCCAAGATCTCGATAGGGTTAGACACACGGAAAGCGGGCAAGATTTGTCATCCGCGAAATATATGATTAATTGTAAGATGTTGTCCACCCTTGCAAATTGAAGGAGTAGGTTTCTTAAAAATCCATTGGTCTATCGCAATGGTATGCTTTTGTCTTGATTTTCCCGTTTTTAAAAATCATTTCCTTTTGGCGCCAAGCATCCATTGAGCTCTTTTCTTCTCATCTTCATACGATCCAAAAGTTTGTTTAGTTAGGGCGTGCAAGTCGCAATCCGAAGGACTCGAACCACACGACTAGTACGCAGTCGGGAGCTTACAATAAAGACTTGTCGTTATTACAAACTATTTTGGTGTATGTACCTTGTATTGTTTGTGAGCTGCCAAAATTTGGTCCGAAGTCAACAACAACACAAAGTGGCGTCGATGATATGGTTTGATGTACAGGTCTTCCTACGAGCAAATTCCGGTTTCATATTTGCTTGATGCCATTTATGCTCATCGTAAAATCTATGTTTATTTCAAATGACCGTACGTGCTTGATTTTTCACACGCATTTTACCTGAGTAAGTCCTTATGTCCTATATCTTCCGCCCTAATTAACATTATCGAAACTTTGAACCTATGTTCAGTTGAACGATTATGTCCACAGAAATGCTACTCTTTTTGCTAAAATGC